CTTTTCGTTGCCTTTGTGTCACAATAACTTAACACTATAATTGATGGTGAAATGAAAAAGGACTAAAGGAATAAAATTGGTTTTTTTCGTTGTGTATTTAACAAGGATTCAAAACAATTTAACTGTTTTTTAAAAGTTAAAAGGTGACATTTTTATTTATTGCTAGAAAAAACTTACGAGACGTTTTGCCGTTTTTGTTTTTACTTTTTTTTAATTTTTGCTTTATTTTTTTTTTTTACCTATTTATTTACTCCCTTTTTGTTTTACACTCTGGATTTTTTGAAAATTAAATTTAGTGCTAGTTGTAATAGTTTAAGAATATTTTAAACAGCATGGATTTTTAACAATTTAATGGTTTTAGATAAGAGCTAAGACAAAATATAAAGTATCTACTATATTAGAAATATAGAAAGGAATGAATAAAGATAAAGAAGTGTAATTGAAATGTGGGATTTAGACTCTTTTTAGTAGATTTAATTTAAAAGACTCTTTGAAGATGAAAAATATTTTACAAAATTACAAAAGTTATCTTTCATTTTATAAAAGAAATAAAAGTGGAGATTATTTAACAGAATTGAGTGTTTTGAAAATCGGAAAGAAAAATTAATGTAATCTTGTAAGAGAACCATGATTTTTTAAACTCACTTAGTTTTATTTTGTATAAAAGGTAATTCAGTAGGAGATACAAAAAATTTATATAAAATATAAATCATAATATTATAGATTTGGTATTTGAACAGTTTTCTAGCACTACAAAGGGGAAAAAACCAGAGTTTAGGTCATCAGAAAATTTTGTATAATAACAAGTTGTTTAAAAAATTGAATGGAAGGCACACAATTTCGAGTTATTAATAGAATGAAGATTAAATGCTATTGTCATGTCCAATTGCGACAGTAGTAGTAGAATAGACTTTGTTGCTCAGATGACATCAAAGAGCTCTAGCGTCTTATCGAAGAAATTTCGGTCTTTATTTCGACTTGGGACACCATAGTAAAAAAGTAAGATTAATGTATAACAGAATGCATTAGAAAACTTAATTCGCGTTTATCTAGTCAAATATCCGAAAAAAGACGAGCGCAGGGATTTTTGGGGCAACAACCAAATTCTTCGAACTTATGGATACTTTTTAGCCGTGTCTGTGAAAAACAAAGTTGAAAATTTATAATAAAATGAAAAAGTTATTATTCATAAATTATAGAACGATACCTAAAGTCAAATAGGAAGCCGCAAAATATAAGCCTTATTGAATTTAGTTTTGAAGCACTATTTCACCACAATGCTTCTTAATATGCAAATGTAACTGCCCTTGTGTATAGTGTTACAAGTAAAGTCTTAAAAGTAAAGCATTACAGTGAGGAATGTATATATAACTGAGTCAATTCCGGATGTAAGAAATTGAATAATTTAACAAAATTAGCCGGCTTCTAGGCTCTCATATAAATAAATAGAACACAAATTTTTAAAAAATTATTAAAAATTTTCTAATTTTATCAAATATTGCTTTCTTTCAAATTTATTTTTTAATTTTAAATTTAATATATTAAAAAATTTAAAAATATTTACCAACAAAAATATTGGACAAAAAAAAAAAGAAAAACCAAAGAGAAATTAAAACCAAAAAAATTTTCCTTTATTATTGAGAAAATTATTTTAATATTTCAATAAATATTATTTGGCTTTTGCGGTTTAATTTATGGTTTATCAAAAGAGTTTATAACTATTAAATATTTAAAATATTGTAATTTGTAATGAAACTTAAATAATTATAATATGGTTTCATTATAATATTATGTAATTGTTAATTTACATATATTTATATACGATCAATATATATATAACAATATCTTATGTATGAGTGTTTTATAATTCCCTTGGAAATGTTCAAATACATTCAATTCAAATATTTATTCGAGGAACTTTACTAAGTGACAATAAAAAATTTAAGTATTGTATTTTAAATTTATTTTGAAAATTCATAGAATGTTAATGGGAGCGGTCTTTATAAAATAATTCTTGCTAAAATAAAACTGTAGTGAGTAAGAACTCCTTTTTGAATTTTTAATTCAGCCGTCAAATATATAAATAGGAAGTTGCTTTAGTCATTATGCGGTAAATATCTTATTCGTATGCTGCACACTTTCTCGATTCTATCAAAATATATTTGAAATTGGAAGGCTGTTAGATTTTTTATTCCATATTAATATTTTACATTATTTAGCTTTGGTAAGGCTAGGTTGACGTGGCTCCCGAAGGGTACACATAGGCCAACTAGGCCCGTTGTGGTACCGTCGGATCTCTCTTTTTCCGACTTCCATTCGAAACAACCCGAGCCCCTTAAAAACAGATTCATGTTCATAACGCTTACATTTGGTATATCCGTAGCGCGCTCGAAGAAGTAAGACCCAAAATATCTCGGCCGGCATCGTACACAAGCATAGAAGGTTGGTTATCATTTCCTTCTCCTCTTTGTCACAGCAGCTCTTACACATATCATTTACACGGGATGGACTATTCTTCTTGCATGTTCGCCAATCACTTATCGTTAAGTTATACTCGTATCAAAACAAGTCTACGTCTAATGCCATAATTTATGAGGATTACAAGTGGAATAATAAATTTGTAATAGAACATGCGAGTTCATACAGGTTAAGAACAGGACTAAGCAGTATGTCAAATCATTTCTATATTCAAACTATTCCAATTTTAATGAAGTAAATCCGAATAAATATTTCTGAATAAAGTCTTTAATCACATTTCTTTCCTTTTAAGAACTCTCTTCTCTTAAACTAAATTTTAGTAAAAATTACTTTCTATTTTCTTTAAATTTTTTAGTTTAAAATTACAACAGCAACATAATGTAATTAAAATTTAATTTTCACGGCAATTCAATTTTTTTTTTTGTTTTTTTTTTTATTTTTTAAATAAAAATGAACTTAATTAATTATTGCACAATTTCATGATCATTTTTCAAAAAATAAGAAAAATAGGTGGAATGATGTAAAAAATAAATTATTTGTAATTTGTAAATAAATGAGAGAAAATATTTCTTTCTTCATTCCCAATATAATTTACTGAAGTAAAATTAAAAAAAAAATCTGATGCGGCCAGCACATAACTGATCGCAATTGTTAAAATGCTGCCTAAATTTATGATATTTTCAATAAATATTGATTTTAAATTCTAAAAAAGATGGGAAGTAGACTTTGGTTTTGGTAAAAAAAAATGAAAATTTGGTTCTTAGTAGAGGTCTATTCCTTGTGTACTGATTCCACAGAACTCAAATATTAAATTTTAAAAAATTCCGTAAATTTCTTCATGTGATATGGTCAAACATGTAAAATCGGAAGTAACCAATCATCAAGTTCTTGAGACTTGAAATATCCCAAAAGTTAATCAAACGGTCTAATTCTCAAAGTTAATTCAAATATAAATTTTCATGAAAATCCGTTCAGACGAACTTTACAATACTGATCTGCACAAACCGACTTATAAATAGACAGACACACAAACAGGCATAGAGAAACACGATTCCGCTGAAAACTCTACATGTGAAATTCGGTGCCATCACATAACCTCCTTTATTTTATGCAATGCAGTCAATAAAAATATAACAGAATAAAAAATGAAAATTTTATAAAAAAATATGTACATACATACATACTTCCTTATACGTATATATAATTATGGCAAATGGCTGTTAACAACAACCTCTTAACAATAATTACAAATACCCAGTAATACTCACCCATAATAATCAGGTTATACTTGACTTTTGTTTTTAAACAGAAACTACACTATATAACATTACACTAAAGTCTGTATAATTATATAATATATACTGTTAAAGTTAAAAATCTGTACATTTTGTGTATTTATGTATGCACAAGGTTATATAAGTTGATGTTAATTGTACCCGATGGTATCGTCATCATTAATTAAGAGGTATTTATTTTACCATATATAACAAACAACAAGTGGTAAATGGTAGTTGTGAGAAAAAAAAATGTAATAAAGGGCATTACAGTAAAATGTTAAGGACTAAACACACTCGTGGCCTGAAATTTTTTTAATAATTTCCAGTTTTCATGATAAATTTTCGTAACTTTATTTAAACAAGTAGAAAATTCTCAAATGACGTTTATCATTATGTCCTTTTTTAAAGGAATTTGCAGTCAGATGTCAGATCAATAGACAGATTAAATAGTTTTGATTGGAAAGGTTTTTATTGTGAACATAAGCTTTGTTTGAATTTGGTGTGTTTTATTATGAATGCAAGTTGGTGTACTTTAAAGAGTTGTGGCAAGAAAAATAATTGTGTTTCGTATGCTCTTTTAATTATTCATATAAAATTGATTAAACGCAAACCTGAATTTGGAAATTTATCTATGAAAGCCTAAGAGATCCTATGAAAGTAATTTCTAAACTACGTTAGGCTTAATATACAAGCTGATAGTTCGAAAAACTGAAAATAAAGTTGGACTTCCTTTTTTGTGTTGTGACGCGATTTAATTCTATTGTTTGGCTTCTGTGTATTAACGAGAGAATCATTAATTTCGTAATAATTTTTCATTAAAAAATATTTTATTAAAATTTATTACCTATTTATACTTCAACTGATAAAACCTTATTTTTTTTTTTCATATTGCAAAAGGTTCAAAATATTGCAGAAACAGTTAAACTGAATGCATCTTACGGCACTTAAAAAATAAATCAGTGCGTTGAAAGTGTAATTTATTTAATGATCGATTTATTATGATTTTCACACTCATGTTCTTTTCCGATAAGCTTTAAATTTTCCTTGTTTAATGTTTAACGTCATATTTCTTTTATAATTTTATGGCTGTCTGATAGGAAAATGCAATTTTCTTGAATTCAATAAACTTAAAAGAGATTTTTTCTTTTTCAATAATTTTAATGTAATTTATTATTATAAAATAAAAAAAAAATTTATATTTTATTGATATTTATTAAAAATAAAAAAAAAAAATTTTCTTTTAAGGACAACATTTACGGCATATCAATTAGAAGAATTGGAACGTGCCTTTGAAAGAGCACCATATCCGGATGTATTTGCTAGAGAAGAATTAGCATTAAAATTAAATTTAAGTGAAAGTCGTGTTCAAGTATGGTTTCAAAATCGTCGTGCAAAATGGCGTAAACATGAACCACCACGTAAAACTGGTTATATAAATACAGCAAGTACAACTGTTGCAACAGCATCTGGAACTTTAGGTACTAATTTAACAACACCATTTGCAACATTTCAACAAGCGACTACAGTTACACCACCTGGTAGTGTTGATAGTTGGACAAGTTATCAACCACCATATGAATTAAGTTCACATTTTAATCTTTTATCACCAAATAGCCCTTATGGATCATTTACAACAAGTCAATATGGTACATATGTTCATGATAGTCAATGGTTTACAGTACGACCAACTTATGATTGTGGTAGTCCACCAAGATTAGATTTAGCTAGCGGTGAAGTTATTGATACCGGTGGTGGTGGTGGTGGCAGTAATAGTGGTAATGGTGGTCATCATCATAAAACAACAAATGACCATCCATATGGTACATTGGATGATGGACAAATGGATAGGTAAGGTGATTTTCAATTTATTTTCTTGCAATTTTTTTTTTTGTTTTAAGTTATGTTTTATTTGATAAAAAAATGTGTGTGTTAAATTGCTAATTATAGTGCAGAAAGAGGATAGAGCGATTAGTAAAAATGCTTTTCTGCACTATTAAATATTATGATATGTAGACGCTTTTCTAAAATATTTGAAAAATATACAAAATAAGCCATTCATCAACGCATTTTTCCTGTCATACGACTTCCATGAAAGCTTTTGCTATTTAACAAAATGGCTATGTCATACAAAATTTAAGGGCAATCTTTAACTTAATAGTCATTTAAATAAATGACTTAAATGCATAGTCATTTATCTGGACTGGTTACCAAAAGCTAAACTTTTTTAAAATTTTCACTAATTTGTACTTTACACAAGAGAAGTGTAAGTTTCATTTAGTAGAACCCGTAGAATATGAAATTTTTATTCGAATAGGTGCAAGAATATACTGGAAGACTGTCGATTTTTTAAAATTATTTTACAATAACGTCTTACAATAACCCACACATATACCTGTAAAATAAATATCCTATTGTGTTTTTGTTAATTCCTTATTCACCACGCTTCTGCCATCTAATTCCATAGATGCTATCGAAAAAAAACGCAATTGCAATTTCTTCTCAAAATATTGAAAATAGGTCAAAAATCAAAAATATTCAAGTACTTCTCTTTACTCTATCATAATATATGTGAAAGATATTCTGAATATTATTAAAATAAATAAAAATATGCAATAAAATAATTATGAGAAAAACAAAATTGACAAATCGGCCCAACAATTTATTTATTTTATATATTTAGCCCCAAAATCTATTAATAGAATATTCTTTTATAGTTAATAATTTTAAATTATTTTGACCTTGCTCCCTTACAATATTCATCTCAAATCAACTCTTCTCAATACAAACACCACAAAAAAAATATTATTGTAGAAAAAAATAAAAAAAAAATATTTTAATGACTTTATCCCTTGATCCAAATGGAAATAAAAGGGGGGCAGGGGGAGGAAAAGCGATAGTACCAAGAGCAAAAATGAAAATATAAGAAAAAATAATTTATGAAACCATTGGCATCGAAAGTATATGACCGACCCATAAACAAAACAAAGACAACCCACACGATCATCTTTTGAACGTTTTGACTTTAAGCATTTTGTAAAATTTCTGTTTTTTTTTTTGTTTTATTTTCCAATTTCTTAATTTCATTATTTCCTTATTTCTTGCAAATGTGTGGGTGTGTGCGTGTTTGTATAATCAAATAATATGAGAGTACGAGTACAATATTTGTAAATATTTTTATGTCTAACAATTTTTCTCACAATTTCAACACAATTCTTTTTTGTTTTGCTTCTTCTTCTTCTGGTTCTTCTTCTTGTTTCCTTGTGCTTATGTTTTTTCAAATATAATTTTCTTTGTTTTATCCTTTATTGGTTACTGATAGTATTTTATTTTTCTTTTCCTTCAAAATATAATAATTTTCTTTTCATATTATAAATCCATCGTTTGTGAAAATATTTTTGTTAAAAAAATCAACCAGAAAATTATATTATGTTTTGTGTCAAATATACACTCATACTCACATATAGATCGTGAATATACGAATAATAATAAGATGTAGATGTTTATGTAGAAATAAACTGGTCATAACTAAAGATTTTATTAGTTTTTTCTTTCCTTTTTATATCCATTATCCTTTTTATTTTTGGTTCTTTATGGATTTTTTTTTTCTCTGTTTGTGTATTCTTGTATTCTTCGCTTTAGTTATTTTGGGTTGTCGTTATTTTATTGTTTTCTGTTTATTTCTTGATTTTCTTATGTGTTTAATATTTAGAAATAAAAAGCGATTTTATTGCTTATTTTTCTATATTATCATTATTATTGCTATTTTGTATTTTTTTTTTGAACAACAATGAGGCACAACATAGTTGTATCCAACTGATTTAACAAGCATATTTTTTATTTTTATCCTTTTTTTTTTGCTTTACCGCAAGAAGGATATAAACGGAAAAGATATATAATATACAAAAGGATTATTTTTCATTTATAAAAAAGAAAAAAGTGGAGAAATGAAAAACTATAGTAATAAACGGATAGAATAACATAGGCAATGGCTAGCTTTTATAGTATACAGAGATGAGAGGGAGAGAGAAAGAGTGAGAGAGAGACAGAGAGAGTGAAGGAAAAAAAAAGCTACTTTTTCTTTATTATTTCTATTAAAAGAATATTATAATAGCCTCTTAATGAGAAAAAATGAATAGTGTAGAAGAAAAAATAAGAAAAACGAAAAAACAAATCAGAATTTAAAGTAGTAAGAAATTTTTAATGAACTTACTGATATAACCGTTATAGTAAACCGGCTTTGACTTTACATATTGATGGGCTCAGAGGCAAAGTGGCCTAACCCTCATTCCAAAAATTTTCATCACAATGCGGGTTAGGTCACTGTTGCTCCAAAAAAAAATAAATTTTGAGTTCAGACCAAAAAAAAAAATTGTGCTTTCTCTGGGACTGGGAGGACGGGGTCCTGCCATTATTGGACGTGCAGATTTGAGACTATGAGGGTTCTCACTGCACACTGCCTCCCGAGGGTTCATCTGAAAAGGATGGGCAGGGTGGCGGACGAAATCTGCCGTTTATGCTTGGAAAAGGACGAAACCATGGACCACTTATTGTGTGAGCGCGAGGCAGTTGCACGCCTGCGCCTGAGATGCTTCGAGGGGAGCTTTGTAGCCCCGGAGAGAATCTCGCAGCTTGATGTTGCTGCCATATTGCGGTTTGTCAGGCAGGAGCCCTGGTGTAGAGCTAATGTAGGGGGGTGGAAATCACAAAAGATGCTATAGGCCGACGTGAGAAGGGCCTAGGGGCCTCGGTCCCCAGGACGAAAAAGAAAAAAAATATCGGAATATTGCCGATAAAATTAAATTTGGGACCTAATTTTATAACATATTTTTAACAAAAAAACAAAAATTTTGGGAATTAGGGTTAGGCCACTGTGTTTTTGAGCTCTATATTACCAATTAAAATCAAAAAAAATAATAAAAATTAAAACTAGCTTACAAATCTATGGTTTTGCGCCCTATTGCACTCGTATTTCTTGTATCTTAAGGATCTTGGTTCATATTGCTCCTTTCACCACGGAACAATAGTTTAGCTTCTTTTTATAAAGGATTCGTGAAGCTCGCACTTTTATTAATACATATAAAACATCGAGAATTTAAAATTTGCGAATTCCGAGGCACGATAACTTTAAACAGAATGGAAGTGTATCTAAAAACTTTTAAAATTTCATTTCCATAACATCATATGTTATACCATTAAATGAACACACCATACTTTGTATTGAACTTTAAATGAATATAAAGCTTAAAAATATAATATGTGTACAAAATATCTAACCAAAATTAATATACACATTTTATAAAATGAAACATTTTTATAGAAGCAAAAAAATGAAAACAAAGTAAATACGAAAAATTTATATTGAATAAATAGAAAAAAAAAAGGCTATTGAATTCAGAATATGTAGACTTAAAGCCAATGAAAACAGAAAAAAAAATTAAGTAATAGTAAGATATTAAATGAAAAAAGAGAAAGAAAAACGCCACGAAAAAAGAAAGAGAAACGTCTATATCAAACTCAATGGGTTTTCCTTTATTTTTTCTCCTCGATTTTCTTATAGCTAAAGCCAACTAAGAACAAAAAAACGCGATGCTTTGCTCAGCATAAAATTTTATTATGAATGGTTTTTAAGTACATTGTATTCATTTATACATATATATATATATATATATATATTTATAAATTTCTCTATTATATTACAATTTCCTTATATTATCGTTAGTTGTTAAAAAAAAAAAATTCCTTACATTAAAAACCTCTCACACATAGACAACGCATAATAATTTAAGTTATATAAGAAAAGGAAATCTGGTAATATAAAGTACGTGGTAGTTTTTATTTCTTGACTTCTCCTATATTTTGTATAACAAGAATAACCACGAAAATAACAACAATAATTTAATATTATGGGAAAATGACTGCGTTTATAATTCGGCTTTTTATTTTTGTTTATGAGTAACTCTAAAATATGATAGCTATAATAGTATAAGATTCAAGTGAATCCTTACAACAATTAAATAAAATAACTGTTATACTACTACTATTATTTTTATATATCATTATTATTTTTATTGTGAAACGGTTGACTTAGTTGATTTTATTTCACTGTGAGCTTCATAATTATTATTGTTATTGTCATTATTACTGTTATGTTTTTTTTTAAAGATGAGTTCCCTTTGTTTTATTATTTTAAATGAACGCGTTTATTGTTTTACATCAGATCATACTGTGCAAAAATTAGCTAATTTTTATGCTTTTGCTTTCATTATTTTTTTTTATAATATTATTAATGGATCACAAAGGATATTTTGTATAAATATCACATTGTATATAGAGTCTCGAATATATTGTATGTAAATATATATTATTACTGAAGCACTAAATGAATTTTTCAAAAATTAATTTAATTAAAATGCAAAAATAGCAAAAATTATGAAACAAAAATTAAAATGATGTCTAGCTGTTATTTAGCGCGAAGACAATTTAATTTTTAATATATGTCCTCGAAAAACGGTAGGTGAGATGGATGTTTAAAAATTTCTTCTTCTCTCTTCTAAATATATTTGCTGTTGTACGGATATAACAGTGTTAAAGACTAAGTACTTGTGTATCTGCAACGATAATAATATTGTTAGTTTTATGTTAATTATAAGACTAGACCTTGTAAATAAAATTTAGTTAAATTTTTTTGTGAAGAAATGTGTCTATTTATAAGAGATCTCTCTTATGAGAGAAAGAAAAAGGGAGATATGTGTATAAGAAACTCAATTCTCTGACTCATTATACAAGTCATTTTTAGGGCGAAGATTTTCGCTAACAGATAACAAAAACAGAGCCTGGAAAATACTATTTGGTTTTATTACCAGGCAGCTATTTGGGCGAGGGCCTGAGCATTACATACAAACAATAAACTACCGTGATTTAAATACAATTAATTCGTGTATCAATTTTCTTTTGTAAATTGAAATGTAAGAGCAAAAATTTCGGAAGGATTCTAAATTAAATTGTAATCAAAAGAAATTCCAGAATTAATTCCAAAAATGAAACATGCTTCTTTATTTTGCTACAATTTCAAAACAAAAATTTTTTATAGTCCAATATGGTAGATAAATACAATAAATTTAACGCTTACTTGAAACTTGTATAACTTGTATATTTTAATTGTATTTGCATAAAATTTTCGTATCTCTTCATTATTTCCCTTTATTAACCCAAATGTCGCCCTACAAAATTGTTTATAATAATTTAGTTAAATGTATTTTTAACATGCAGCTACTTTAAATTTTAAATTAAAATATTTTTTTTTATATATTTTTTTTGTTTTTGAAAAATAATATTAAATAATTAAAAATTAAATCCCAAAAGTATGAAAAACAAAAATTCTAATTCACTTATAGTTTTCAAATTTCAATTTCATTTTAGTGTTAATGGTACAATAACAATTGTTGGTCCTAATATTCCCACAAAATATTTAGATGAACAACAACAACAACAACATTCAGCTAATAAATATTTACATACAACATCATCGACATCATCAACATCAGGAAATAATATTAATAGCCTTGATGATAATAATAAATATCAAACAAGTTGTCATGTTGAACAAGATCAATCAACAATTACATTAAAACATAATCAACATCAACAGCAACAACATCAACAAACCGGAGAGAATACTTCACAACAACAGCAACAACATATAATACCACATCATCAACAACAATATTCAACAGTATCAGTATCATCAGCATCTATAATTGGAATATCAGCAGTATCATCATCATCAGTTGGAATAGGAGGAACATCAGTATCATCATCATCGTCATCATCATCATCCTCATTAAATAATATAAATATTGTTAATAGTTCTATTGGTAATAATGGAAATAATAGTACTGGTGGTGGTGGTAGTACTGGTGGTAGTGGTATTAATTTAAGTGGAAATGGTATTTCTATTGCAACAACATCAAATATTAGTAATAATAATTCAACGGTTAGTGGAAATTGTACACCTTCAGGTAATATTGTACATGATGATACAAATGGAAATAATTCTGTTACCATTATTGGTACAACAAATACATCATCAGCTGGAACTGGTGTTGGTGTTATTAGTAGTGGTGGTGGTAATAGCGGTAATATTGTAACTAGTATTGGTGATCCAACAATGTCATCAGTAATTAAAAATGATGATACAACGACGACAGGAGCCGCAACAGTTACACATTATGTTTTGCCATCATTTTTACATTGACGGTAGAAGGAAAATATCTGTTTTTTTTTTATAATTTTTTTATTTTTGTTCTTTTTTGGTTCCTATATTTTCTGTTTTTATCTTCTGGAAAAACAAACAAGATGGTTTTTCAAGCTGTCTATAGGTAAAATATAGTCAACAAAATTGATGATAACGTGAAAATTCGAGTAAAATATTAAAAAAATAAAATTTAAATATTAACACTGAATATTCTAATACTCGTATAAGTAGCTATAGATTGTGATGAAGCTATAACAGTTATTTGGATTTTGGCAATTATTATAATATGTGTATATAAATATGTATATGAAATTGTGTGTATAGAATAATAATTTGTTTATTAGTAAGCCGTTTGTTAACAGTGAAAAATATCATTAGGTATATATACCTTTATTATTGAAGGGTATTGAAGAGTAATATGCGTATAAATAGTGAGATATAGTATGTACTTATATGTATATTAGGTATAGGATGATTAGGTGCAGGTAAATCAATATGAATCTTAAAGAACAATAAATAATTTATAATATTTTTAATTTTTTTATCTCGTATGGCATACCATATACCATATACACGTTTGTGTTATGATTTTTTTATACTAGTAAATTTTTAAAAGATAGAAAATGTTATACTTAATTAATAAATCTTAAATCTCAATGATTGCTTGCATGAAAACCTTATAAACTTTTAAAATGGGCCCAACAAATCAGTGCTATCTTATTTTCTCAGGTGTAAGAGAAAATTCAACAATATTATTGTTTCCAGGAAGATAAACTTACAGTTCGAATAACATGAAAAACGGGGCGGAAAAAGCAAATTGTTGCTGTAACTATTTGTTCCTTTAAAACCACTATATCACGCTACTTCCAGAGCTCGATTGAGTTTCTAACATCTTGGACATAAAATGGATCTTTTGATGCACAAATATTTAAAATGATACACGTTATACCATACGAGTAAACAAAACAATTCGCGCTCGAATGACAAAACGTTCTGAGTGAAGTTGTCCTAAAAAATGTCAAACTTTCCAATGGAAGTGTCAGATTGCACCTGGCAGCACTAGTATTGCCAGGACCCGAAATATAGATAGTGACCCTCGTAAAACCATGTTAGATAATGGTAACTAAATTTGATATTTCAAATGAAATCAAATATCGCGTTTCGATTCTATTTTTTTTTCAAAGTTTTATTCATTTTAAATAACTTTAATATTGTGTTCCATATTTTACTATAGTTTCCTGTATATGTATACAAATAAAATATGGCTTCATTTTCATTAGAGAAAATTTATTATTAAATTATAAACATTAAATGATAGAAAAGGTAGATTCGCATGGAAATATGCTCGTATTTTACATATATGTACATGCATATTTATGTATGTATATATAGAATTATCAGGAATATGTTGAAAAAACTAGACAACATAATATATCAAACTAACTGTATTCGTATATTGTACAAATTCAACACATTTACAAATTGCATACATATAGGCAGCAGTTTTTTTTTAAATTTGCTATTATCATTGTTGTTTTTTACTTTCTTCATAGATATACATATTTTGTACATACATTATTTTATATTTTGCTTATATAGCTATTAGGAAAAATTTTACATAATATTCTTTCTATTTAATCACATACAGCTAAGATGTCTTTATTTAATTTTTGTAAGGTAGCTATACACGGTGAAAATTTCAAAAATTTATTAGAAAAAAACACAATGTGAGAATGAAAACATATTTTAATATAATAATATATATACATATATATTATATACAAACACACATTTATGCTCATATTTTGTTGATATTATGTTAATCATCAAGTTTTTATATTATGAAATATTTTAACTTTTCTGGGAACCTAAAGTTAGGGATTTAAATTGTAATAATATGTATAATTAATATGATGTATAATACGTTGAGTACATAATTATACATATACATACACATACACAGTATACTAATTATGTAAAAATATGATAGGATTATTTTCTACATACATATATAGCTAGTTTTTTGTAATTTGTTAAATATATATGTGCCGAGTATTATATTTATCTATATACATACATATAATATTACTAATTATACTTATTACATTTTAATTATGAAAGAGAATAATGAAGAATTTTTTCATTAATTTTTGACTAGAGGTGAAAATATTTTTCAAGTTTATATAATAAATCTTATATACATGTAATACAATACAGATTATAGGCATAGATTCCGCAATTTTTGGAAGAAAAATTTTCTCCTTTAAATTTTTAAAAGATTTAAGGATAATATTCTTTGCATACTTTTATAATATTTTTAAAAAATATGTGAAATATGATATAATTTAGGAAGGTGTAATATAGGTGATTCTTATTAAATTTGTTGTTTAAAAATGATTAAGGAAAATTTTCCAGTTTATAAAATATTTCATATTTGAACGTTTTTGAGTTTCAATAAAAGGAAAATATTTAAATTTGTGGCAATTTTTGTAAAAAAAAATTAAAATTTAAAATTAGTTATTAAGAAATTAAAGGTGACTTAGTATTTGACTAAAATTCATAATTTTTTTTTTTTAAATTTAAAGAGATTAATCAAATTTAAATGCGGGTTTTGTATGTTTTGTTCTGATTTGCAACTATGAGTTTGAGGATAAGAAATGCTTATCTTATCTATGAAGAGAAAATACCTTAATATTTTCTCAAAGTAGTAAATCTTTATACCGCCTGCTTATTGGTATCAATTACAAAATCAACTGAGTGTTATCACAAAAAGAAAACCATGTTATTGATTCAAAATACCCAAAATTCATGGACTACTCATATTTCTACCGATCGCATTGCATAAAATAAGGGTGGTTATGTGATGACACCAAATTTCGGATGTCGAGTTTTCGCTAGGAACGCAGACTTCCATTGTAGGGAAGCGTAGATAAACTATTTTGAGAGAGATATCGGTATATCTGTGTATGCATTCGTGTATTTTAAGTTTGGCTGAAGAAATTTTGATAAAATTTTATATTTGAGCTTATTTCGGGTTTCTTATGGACTAATCAACTTTTGGGTTGTCAGACCAGGAAGTGGTTTTGGGAAGTGGTCCTTTTTGCGGGTCGATTTTACATTTTTGCACATGTTTCAATTTTTTTTGAAATTTAATATCTAAATATGGGGTGTTAAAACAATGAATCTATACTTTTTTTTTTGAAAATATAAGGGGTCGGAAATAAAAAAAGAAGCCAATTTTACATTTTTTACCATACCTATGGGACGGATTGTTGGAATTTCTTCAAATTTCATATTTGAGCTCAGGTTTTTACCAAAACTAACTCGAGAGCTTTTTAGAGTATTTGAATGGCACAAAGTAAACCTCTATTATGAGATGAATTTACATTTTTTGAGGAATCTCCTGTAACACTTTCACTAAACTAGACAATATACATTGCGGTCGGTTATACGCTGATCACATCAGATTTTTTTAATATTTTAAATTATTCTAAACTATAAACCATATTTGTTCTTCTTTTTACTAATTCATGGACTATTTATAAACAATACGCAATCTTAAACTATAAAAACAAAAGTTAATAATTTATTCATAGTTTTTTTTAAGGACTTGTTTTTTATGTTCCGGCTATGAAAATGGAAGAAAAAGAAAATATCCTTTCATTTTCAAAATAAACTTGCAATGCCTTTTATAGGCTGTTTATTGTATACGTTTCGTCCTCAATTTTTTTTACAATTTACTTTACTGTTGATATTTTTGATTGAAATTTTGTTGTTTTACACAAAATATTATTAAAAATAAAATATTCAGATTTATTTTAAATTAAAAGGAAATCATTGCATGCACAAACATATCAAAATTTTCCATAAATCACTTCCATTTTATTTAAATCTATTCAAGCTTAAATAAGTCTAAGAAAAAAAATTGGCCAGATATTTTCACAACAATTTGGTTTTTCTTTGTTAGCTTGAAAAATTCATGCTATTTTCAGTTTCGAATTTAGAAAAAATTTAAGAAATAATTTTGTTTGTAATAAACAAAAAAAATTTACCCAAACTCGTTATTAAATTTAGAACATGCAAGTATGCATAAGATTCAAAAAATTTTAGACACTTTTGTTTTAACTCTAATTTTAATAAACCTATTCTGTAGCCGATCTCTTTACCATTACTCGTAAATCAAACAGCTAATAAAAGAAATTAGACTATAAATCTACTTTATAAAAAGCAATAACAAAAAAAAAAAAATTGCGGAGTTCCGAGATAAGAAACAGCAAAACCTGCATTTATACGTTTTCCATGTTATTTCCTTTATCATAAAATTGTACATGCATTTAAAAAAAGAAAATGAAGAGAAAAAAAAAAAATTATCGAGCGGAAAAATGACAAAAAAAAAAGAAAAAGCGAAAAAAACATAAAAATGTAAAACTTTTTTGCATAATTTTTTTCTTTTTCGTTTATTCCCAGACTCCCACCCCCTTCCTCTCTACTATATAAATTTTTGTCTAAGCTACACTAAGGATAATATTGCAATTCTTTATGCTTTTGTACGGCTTACTACTACTGTTTGTCGTCATTGCTGCAACTCAACTCAATGTAATCTTTATTGCCAATTATTTGAATATGAAAGTACAATGAATTAAAAAAATTGTGAATAAAGAAAAAAAAACAAATATTATTTAAAAAAAAAGAAAATAATATAAAGGAGAACAGACAGAAATGCATAAATTAAAGTAGATCGAAAAAGAGGATTCGAGAGTAGAGAGTTCGGAAGAGATCCTTAAAAATACATAAAATAATTAATTGAGTATTCTGTTTTACAAGAAGAATAAAAGCCCTGTACCAGAACCATAGTAAAAAAAAAAAATTTTTTTTTATCGTAGTTATGATGAATGCTATTTCTTAAATTTAAGTTTATGTTAAAACAAATAAAGGGAAATTTAAAACAATAAAATCAACAAAAGAGACAAAAACAAAAAAAAAAGAAAAATTTTTTATAATAATTAACATAGAAGTTTAATTATTTAACTTTAAATAACGGTTGAAAAAATATTACATAATTATAAATAGTTCAGCTTTTATACCGTAAATATTATAAGCTTATATAACGATATTATACCCCACATAATGAACACAATATAGTAATGTTCCAGAAAGGAATGAGTTTTCCAAGAGAAATTTCTAATTTATTAAAATCTGAATTTATAATTTT